CCGAGAGGAGAATGGAGGAGAAGGGATTGCCACGTGGCCATCCCCTCTAGGGCGTGATTTCTTGCTTTCTGTCTCTTTGTCTCTCTCTGTCTTTCTGGTGACTGCCTGCACCTTGTGGGTGATCGCCGGCCCCTTACAGCAAAAACCTCTTCAAAAAAAAAAAAAAAAAAGAAAGAAAGAAAAGAAAAACATTTCATGACTGTCACCTATAGTTAAAAATATTTTAAAACAGTCTGTTAATTGGGCCATCACATTTCCAGGTGGCTGCTATTTCCTATAAACATACTGGTGTACTGGTGGATACCCAAAATGTGATAAATTTGGGCTCTAAGCCTGAGCCCTTCTCTTCCTAGGGGTTGAGTTACAAGACTGCTAAGTCACTTGTATTCATTAACAAATTTATTCCAATCATAGTTTTGTTTTTTAAGAACTAGTTTATTGGAACCAGCAGTTAGTGTAATGGCTATGTCGCTGAACTCCCATGTAGCCGACCGCTGTTTGAGTCCTGGACCCGATGGCTTAAACTCACGCTGGGCGCGTGTGCATATGTGCCCAAGATCCCGAGAGGAGAATGGAGGAGAAGGGATTGCAGCATGGCCTTCCCCCCTGAGGGGTGATTTCTCGCTTTCTTATCTCTCTGTCTCTGTCTTTCTGGTGAGAGCACGTGCCCTGTAGCAAAAACCTCTCCTAAAATTTCAAATATACATTCATCCACCAATCTTCTAATGTTCAATCAAGTCCTTTTCTTAAGATCCTCTCGGGATCTTGGGCACATATGCACACGCGCCCAGCGTGAGTTTAAGCCATCGGGTCCAGGACTCAAACAGCGGTCGGCTACATGGGAGTTCAGTGACATAGCCATTACGCTAACTGCCCCCCCCCCCCCAGTTATACCCCCAGTTATAGTTTTTAATGTAACTGCACAATGCAATAAAATATTTTGTAAATAAAACACTTTAAGTGAAAAAGGAGTTATTTCTATGGAAAATAAGTAAATCCTCTAGAAATGCTCAAAAAAGAAAGTTGCTCAAAAATTGCTTTTGAATTAGATGTGAGTGAAATAATTGTGAAAGGGGAGAAAAATCAGAAAAATCTCAGGTCGTCTACTTAAATTACTTTGTAAGAATCGTTTCTTAAATTAAAATTTTATTCTAGCTTAAAATATCAAAACTGATCATCACAGCAATGAACTATGGATGTGATTTTTTGCAGAGTCTAAGCTATAGACTACTACTTAAAGAAAAGGACTTGATTGAACATTAGAAGATTGGTGGATGAATGCATATTTGAAATTTTAGGATAAAGTATTCAAAAATGTACATAATTTGTTTTGTGATTTTCCAGTTGAAAAAAAAAACTGTTTTTTTTTTTTTTTTTTAAGTTTATTCTATGAGTGAGAGAAACAGACAGACAGACAGAGATCTAGCATCCCCTGAAGGGTCCTGATGCCATGACCTACTCCTCGCTGGATCATGGGCACATGTGGGCCTGACGTACTCAAGGAGATCTCCAGATGCAAATTGGCAACCTTTCCATATGACCCTGTCCTGCAGATCACATTTTACCACTGTGTTGTTATCATTTTTTTCTATATTCTCCTCTTCTCACTGACTTAAAAACAAATTTTTGAAAAAGATTTTGCCATAGGGCATGTGTATTTGCCAGAAAAGGAAAGTGAGATATCATCCCCCAGAAGTGACAGCCATGTCACAATCTCTTCTCCTCCATTCTCCTCTCAGGATTTTTGGCACATATGCACAAACATCCAGCGTGATTTTTCAAGTCGCCAGTTCTGGGAGTTGAACCATGGTTGGCCATGTGGGAATTCAGCACCTTAACCAACATGCCACCTTGTGGCCTTCTTTTCACTGACTTTTAAAGTTAATCAACAAAGAACACAGGTGGCCAACTACAAGTCAGTATTTTCTGCATTTTATTCAAGCAAGGGTCCTATTGGGCTTTCCTTGAGTTAGGCATTTCTTGAGAATTCTAGTACAAACAGAACTGAATTGTTAGGTAGTCTGAATTCTTTATTCCCATCCCATGAACTGGAGTGGTATAAACCTTCCCTAAGATAATGGATGATCAGAAGGCTCTGGGAGCCTATGGCATAAATATCAGTGGTTTTCTTTCTCTCCACCATAAGGTAACCCAAGCTTCATAGGACTGCAGTAAGCATAAACATGAGAGCAACCCCTCACAAAAAAGCAAAGCTAACACTTATGTTTGCTAAGGATTTCAGGAAAGGGTTATGGCATTTTTCTCCGATATTTGGGTCTTACACTGAATACATAACCTTAGCTGCAGCATTTTCCATGGGAGATTTTCCTTTTATTACAGAAACACAGTAAATGAGGAATACCAAAGAGGAAAAGTCAGGGATACCCTTGCATTATTTGAAAAATAAAATAGAGCTTAAAAGAAGCAGAATATCTAAGTCATATATAATTACCAACCAAGAATATTGATATTTTTAGAATACCACTAGTCAGCCAAAAAGAGATGAATATAGATATAACCCTTATGACTAATTTCATCACTGCCTTTGAGATCTATACATTCATTACAACAGTGACGAATCATTGCTGGAACTGATTTCAGATACTGCCTTTAACCTTGCATTTCCCAAATCATTCTCTTTCTTGTTGTGTGCAAATATGGAAAACATCAGAGTTCAAGTAAGGGGTGGGACAGTTGGAAGGGAGGGAGAGGAAACTCTGTCTCAGCAACTTCTACCACCAGCAACAACAAAAAAAAACCCTCCAGAAATATCAAAATAAGGGCAATCTTCTAGTCACCAAAGATAAATCAAGAACAAAATGATGAATAGCCTTGGTATTTTTCTTTTCTCTCTAACACCAAGACTGACAGTTTATTTATAAAAACACAAACAATAAAAGCAGCCTTATTTCTTGAAATTTCACCATGGAGTTATCCACGCAAAAATAATATTTTAAAGCAGGTGTATTTTGAACCTGGTCTGAGAACATAAAAAATTTTCACTAATTACTGTGTAGTATATTTATAGCTTTAATTGTTTTTCCCTATTTCTCAAGGGACATGTTTCTTCCAGAAGCACAGTTGCTGAAGCAAACATTTATTTTTATTGTTTCACAGCAAAGAAGCAGAAGTACCCAACCAGCTACTATAATTCTGTAAAACTAACTGCCAGAAAATTTTGTCTAATTTATTCCTCTGCCCCACACTGTGCCTAAGGGTCTGCCTTAGTTTTCTGTTTGAACTTAACAGAAAATAGTTTGTTTTAATGAAACAAATTTTAAAATATGTACTGATATTTTTCTGGCAACCTTATTTCTCTCTGTGAGAATGCCATACAAAAGCACTAAAAGTAATCAGTCATGAAAGCCAAAATATGGTTTTTATGAACCCTTGAAGGACTACACCTTATTAAAAAGAATTCTGCTTATTGTAAAAGTAGTATGTATTTATTGTAGAACACCTGAAACACATAGGAAAATATAAAGGAAAAAAGTAAAGCACAATCTCATCAACCAGAGACAGGCATTGCAAATATTCTGGAAACTACCTTCTAGTGGAAGACTCTACGTCCTTATTAAATTAAAAAATCTGCCTTCTATTCCTTAATAAGATCTTCAATTCCTCAACAAAAAGCTTTGTTACAATTATGCCTCTGGAACTTTCATTTCTTTTAATATCTGGAAAAGTATTTGATAGTCAACTTGGCATGTATGGTTTAAAACTTTTGTCATGTTAAGTAACAGATTCTAAGGTTTAAATGATTTTGACTTATGAACAAAATGCATGTGTAGAACATAACAAAGACTATTTAATACTGAGCCTTTAGACAGTCCAAATGGGCATTTCATGAAATGAATGATTTGGCTGATATACGTGCTTTCAGCAACCCCAAAGATGGGCTGATCTGTGGAGTTGTAGACTTCTCTTGGAAGTCTTTCATGAGCATCACAGTACTCAATAAAGGAGAGAATTCACCTTGCTTTATTTTGTCCACAACTAGAGATTCCAAGGGTGCATTTAATGATCAATTCTCCATGTACTGCAGGTTAAATATATTTACTATTTGGTACCTTTCACATAAAAGCATCTTGAAAATCAGAGTTGCAATTCCAAACAGCACCTACAGATTACTGCTGGTAAGGCAGAACTTAAAATTTTTAGTTTCCTTTAAAGTCACACTTAAGGGCATGTTTGGTGTTCTTTCTTCCAGTGGAAGACTACAAGGAGAGTGTCAGAGAATGCACACACACACACACAATTAACATATGTCCAATATAGTCATCAGCTTCTTTTCATTTTCTATTTAAGATAATTATCAGGGTATTTCATTTATATGTTCAAGTGTCTTCATATAAATCCTTTCAGACATAGGAAATCTAGAGCTTTCGAGATATATATTATCAAGAATTCACCAGGATTCTGTGACCCTGCAGCAGAGCAGTTAAGTGCTATGCATTGGGAGCTAGATCCCAAAGGGCCAACTGTAGTTCAAATCTTGGCCCCGGCAGCTTGAAAAAAACACATCAGGTACATGTGTATGTATGCTCAGAATCCTCAGGAGTTGGTGAAATGGAGGGAAAGGGACTGCAGCACGACCATGCCCCATTGCGGGTATTTTCTCTCTCTCTGGCAAGCCCATGTGTCCTCCAGCAATAAAACAACAGAAAGGATTCACTGTAATAAATACCCTGAGAACTTACCAGTATATTTTTGATAAACTGTTGCATATATATGTATTCAACTAAGTATTGCTTCACCGTGTGATGTGCATCAATGAGAATTTTGACAAGAAATCACTAAGTTCATAAGGTAGGGTAATCAAATTTATAAGACTTGAATACTGCATCAAAGATTCTGAGTCAAAGAACTATACCACCCTTGGGTACATATTTACTCTGAAGAGAAACAATGACCCATTCCCCTCACTCCAACCCCCATGTCCAAAAAGTAAGAAGGTTTTCAAGGCACAGCAGCCAACGCTCTCTCTGAATGGTGCTTACTTGAGGGCTGTTCTGTAGTGGTAGATCGCTTCCCTGTTCCGACCTTGATCCTTCAGGAAATTGGCGTAGTTGTAGTGAACCTTGGCATTGTGGGGCAGAGTTTGAACTCCAGACCTACATTCAATAAATTAAAAAAAAAGCAATAGAGAATACTACTGTCAGATTTCTTCATGTTTTACTCAGTTTTATGAACCTATATTTGAAATGTCCATGGCATCTACCTAAAAGAAGGATTTAAAATTTGTGAACTCTGTGACTTACTAAACACTTTTCTATGGAAAACAATGAAGACGGGGTAGTTGTACATAACTGAACAAACATGCTAGCTACCTAGGACCAACATTTGTTCTCTGCAGGTAAACATGAGGACCTTTATTTTTTTAAAAAAGGTGTTTGCCACAGGGTGCAAGTGTTCGCCAGAGAGAGTGAGAGGGAAAGTGAGAAATCACCTCCTATGGAGGATGGCCACACTGCCATCCCTTCACCATTCTCCTCCTGGAATCTTGGGCACACACACACACACACGTGCTGCTCAGAATGATTTTCAAGCCACCAGATTCAGGATTTGAACTGTGGTTAGCAATGTGGGAGTCCAGCACTGTAACTACTCCATGATCTGCTGGTTTCAACAAAGGACTGTTTTTACTTGTCAGAAACACACCTGAAGCCTGGGCAAGGCTCTGTCACCTCGTCCAAGGCATCTTCTGGGAGCACAACAGGGCACAACTACAGACCTGGGCACGTACTCTACAACAGGGTAATGCATAACCTTGGAATTGTCAGGCCAGTGTGAAGTTAGGGTGTGTGAGTGGAAGAGGTGATGACACTGGAGCTAATGCAAAGTCAGACCCTGCAGAGGATGATTACAAAGACATCCCATGCAGGGAATTTCTGTATTAAGCAACACTTTCTTCCCTTCATGTCTTTCTCAGGCAGGTTTACTGTCACAGAGAGTCAATCAAACAGGGTAAGTGATCTCTGTGTGCACGATAAAGAATCAAAGAAAAAAGATTTAATGGTTTTCATATCATGAAAATAGCTCATAACCACTGCCTTCTCTTTAAAGCATGACAAAACATGAGAGAGATTAAACAGTTGGTGCCTTCTCTTTATTCTTTCCCACTATTCTTGTTTCCTCCAATATTGAAACCCATGCAATCAGTTTGTGTAAAAGAGTCTCCCCGCCTCCTCCCAGTCTCCCCCCCTCCTCCTAGTCCCTGCTTCCTCACAGGTGTGCACAGTTCTCAGGGACGCTATGTGGGAAGGAAAACACAGTCCAGACCTAGGAGTGTGCATGGGGACTCGGCAGGGTCCTTAATTACTCCACAGTGATGGCCAGTACTGTCAGGCTAATTCAAAACAATTACTACATGCTAGTTTTTGTGTTTGGAGTGAATGAAAAGAAAAATAAAAGGTAAAAGTTTATGCTGGCCCAAGGAGAATCATTAAAAGGGATACCTGCCAGAAGTGAAATGGCTTAATAAAACCAGTTTGCAGGCATTTCTCTGAACTGAGGTAAGGGCTGCACTCGTTCAGTATCTAAGTAGAGGCCCCTCCAGTACTACACAATGCCAATGATGGCGACAGATGAGCTCTTGGCCTCTAGGAGTGTATGGGAGTGAGGAAATATGGGTGATGACACAACAGCTGGTAACAGTAGGGGAGTGGGATATCCACAAAGCACAGCATGTGTATCCCAGAATGAGGATCAGGGCAGGTAACCAGAAGGGGCAAACAGCAAAGTGGAGACTTTAAGGATAAACAGAAACTCAATCAGCCACTAGAGGAAGTGGCAGTAGATAGTCCTAAGCAGAGGACCCAGAGAAATAGAGTTCGGGGTTCTCAAAAGATGGAAAGAAATTCAGAGTTGCTGGATTGCAAAGATGGAGAAATAGTAAGGGGCCTCTGCATCACACCGGAGACTTTGGGTTTTCTCTGGGGAGCTGTGGGGAGTAAGTGCAGGGCTTTAAACAGAGAAGGGAAACCAAAAGTCTGGCTCCTAAGAACTACTCAAGGGCCATCAGGTGGAGTGGTGGTTAAGGTGCTGGATTCCCACATGTCTGACTGCAGTTCGAGTCCCGGACCTGGTGGCTTGCTTTCTCACTTTCCCACTCTCTCTGGTGACCACACGTGCTCTATAGCAAATTAAACAATAGTAATAATAACAATAATAATAAATGAATAAAGTTAAGTATATATATATATTTTGTTATAGGGCGTGTGTGTGAGAGACAGAGAGAGACAGCGAGAAATCACCCTCCAGGGGGGATGGCCATGCCGCAATCCCTTCTCCTCCATTCTCCTCTCGGGATCTTGGGCACGCACGCACCTGCGCCCGGCATGAGTTTTAAGCCACCGGGTCCAGGATGCGAACTGCAGTTGACTATGTGGGAGTCCAGCAACATAGACATTATGCTAACTGCTGGTCCCATATAATTTTTAACCCCCCCAAAACAAACAAACAAAAAATCCCACTGCTGTAGCCACAGTGTGGAAACGACTGGAAGGAAGAAAGACTGAGGCATGGAGACCCTGGGTAAAAGTGGGATTGTTCCAGAACTACAGGGAGGAGAGCATGGGGAACAGGAGGGAGAAAGAACAGGAGTGGAGTAGAAGTGAGGGGATGAGAGGAAGCATCCTGTGGCAAGAGTAGTAGTCCTGATGACCCATAAATGGCTTTTGGGGTCATTCTTTCTTTTTATAAAAATTTATTTATTTATTCTATGAGAGAGAGAGGGAAGGAGACACCCCCAGAGGGTCTTTCACACGGTGATGCACTCCCAGTCTCATATACTCTGGATCCCAGACATGTGCCTGCATGTATCGAGCACGTTCAGGAAGGTCCTAGGATGTGAACTCAGGACCTTTCCTATGTGAGCCCAGTTGTTATTACTCTGCAGAATAGCTCTGCATTCTTTCATTTTCCTTAAGAATAGTTCATGCTTGTAGCCCTCCTGCACCCTGTCCCCTCACCCTTTTTTTTCTTTCCTGTCTCCATTTATCCCAACTGGCAGTGTTCCTGTAGGTGTAATCCCATATATATGCCTGGCTTCTGCTGAGCTGAGTGATCAGATCCCTGGTTCACTCTCACACTAACCTTATCAAATGGTTGTTTAGTCACCTCTTGTGCAATATGGATAGGCTGAGATTCTTTCAAATCTTCAAGTTCTAGCTATGTTTTGCTTGGTAGTTCTTGCTTCAATTTCTCTCTCTCTTCTTGCATTTTATTGATACCATAAGCAGTAAAGGAGACTCAAGCTGCATCTTCGATACTTTGCTTAGAAATATCCTCTTTGCTAAATATCCAATTCCATGGCTCACAAGTTCCGGCTTTGTCAATATACTGGAGCATTAACACAATTCATCCAAGTTCTTTGCCACTTTATAATAAGGATTGCCTTTGTTGGAGTTTCCCAGAACATGCTCCTCATTGCCTTCTGGGACCTCACCAGAATGGACTTTAATTTTTGTATTTCTACCAATATTCTCTCTTTTTAAAAAATAATTAGTTTATTTGGATTTATTTATTTATCCATTTATTTATTTTTACAAGAGAGGGAGGGAGGGAGGGAGGGAGGGAGGGAGAGAGAGAAAGAGAGAGAAAGTGAGAAAGCAAACCACCAGGTCCAGGACTCGAATCATGGTCGGCCATGTGGGAATCCAGCGCCCTTAACCACCGCACCATCTGCTGGCCCACCAATATAATCTCTATAATGATTTATTCTCCAAGATGATGGAGTCTTTTCCTTTGGCCCTTTCCTTTTCTTTCTAAGCCTTCACAAGGATCATCTTTAACACCTATATTTCTAGCACGCACCTGAAAACTCTTTTAACTTCTTCTGAGTTCCAAAGCTTCCACATTTTTTATTTCTTATAGCAGCACTCCACTTTGCAATACAAAAAAGAAGCCAACAAAAAAGAAAAAAAAAAATAAGCACCAAAGCCTGGGCGGCCTAATCAACAGAAATTTATTTTCTCACAGATCTGGAAGCTAGGAAGTCTAAGATCAAGGTTCTGGCCAATTCAATTTCTCGTGCAGGCCTCTTCCTGGCTTGCAGATGGCCGCCTTCTAGCTATGTCATCACATGACCCCTTCTTGGTACATGTGTAGAGAAGAGTGCATGTGTGTGTGTGTGTGTGTGTGTGTGTGTGTGTGTGTTTCAACGAACTATGGTGTCTTTTCTTTTTCATATAAGGGCGTTGGCCCTACTGGATTAGAATGCCACCTTAATGACCATATTTAACATTTACTATTTCCTCATAGGTCCTGTCTCCAAATCTAGTCAAATCAGAGGATAGGACCTCAACATGTGAATTTAGGGGAACATGAACATGCCGTCTACGACAACCACCAAAGCTCAGTTTTTTAACCTTGAGGAACGGCATACTGTCCACCAATTAGCAGAAAGAGGAAGAATGTCCAAATGCCACCAAATGGCTATACTTGAAAGTTTTGCTTTCTACCTGATGCTTGTCTACAGCTGAGGTCATCTCCCTCTGGAATGCCTAGGGGGTAACACTAAGGTTTTGAAGACAATACAACAAGAAAATGGGGACAGGAGGGGATCAATTTGTCACTTGTAGCTGCTATACAAACTTTACCTGTATATTATTATATGGCTGGTAAGTTCTAGAGTTTGTTTCCTCACTTAAAGGGAGGAGTTGGTGGGGGAAGGGAGAATGGTATAAAATAGGTAGATAAGTTTAAGGGCTATTTGGAAAGAAAACTGGAAGTTATTGTGACTAAATGAAAGGGGTATCAGTTGATGAGTGAGAGGAGATGAAAATCTAGTTTCTGAACAGTTGTAGTTCAGTGTACCACCTCTCTTCGATAACATATTTCCATTTAATTTTCAATTTACACATAAGGTTAATAGAGAAATTCCAAACAAATTGTTAAAATCTGTTGGAGAAATATGATGAACTTATGTGAAAATAACAACCCCTTAGGACCTAGCACAGACTTCCCCACTTAAAGTCCACTGGCTGGGCACTTGAGGAAGCTCCAGAGGAGACACCTGTTAGGGAGCATGTAAAGCTAGAGACCAACCCAGAGAAACAGGCCATCCAAAAGTAGTAGATCCCAAATGTACATATGGCCACTTCAGTGATTC